CGCAAACAGAGCATATGCCGGCCCCCCTGCTCTGGCGGGGGCGCCCGCCCGGTCGGGCACACGCCTCCCCGAAGGTCAAGGCTCGCCGTCCCGCGATCCCGGCGACACGGAGGCCCTGCCCCCCCTTGGCGCTTCCCCCGGCCGCCGCCGCGGGCGTGGGCGTTGCTGCTGAAAGAGCTCTTTGACCGGCACGGGCGACCGGAGTGTGGGGGGGGGGGGTGTAGTGTGGGCTGCGGGGTGGGGGGTGGGGGGGGGGGGGGCGAGGCATTCGGTGCATGCGCCCCGCCCCCGGGGCGCATTCCTGGGCTCTGGCGCGCTCGCCCCGCCCCCCCCCCCCGTTGCTCCCTCGGCCCTTCCAGCGCCGGCTCTTTCCCGGGGGAGGGGGGCGCTCGCGTCCCCTCCGGCAGCCAGGGGCCGGGGATATCCGGGCGGCCCGCGCACATCACACACACCCACGGCCGCTCGACCGTCCGGACACGCACATACACACAGACACTTGCCTGCCCGAGCTTTTTTAGTGCCCCTGAGAGGCCGAGAGCCACATACCAGGGGACCCGACGCACGAGGAGGGCCGGTGCTTGGCGCTCGCGCCCCCCCGCGCCCCCCCGCGCCCCCGCGCCCCCGCGCCCCCGCCCCCAGGAGGCGAGCCCCTATTTTTGAGACCCCATGGCGACAATGTTGCCAGCCCGGCCTCGCAGGGGCGGCGGCGGCGGCAGCGGCGGCGACCATTTGACTTCACGAGCCCCGGGCGCCGTCGAGGTCGCACTCGCGCGTTTGTGTGGTCCTGCCCCGGGCGCGCGCCGGGCCCGGGGCTGACACCCGGCCCGGCGAGTGTGCACCCTTCTTCCTGGCGCGCCCAATTGCAGGAAGGCAACCCCACCAGCGCCCGTGCGGGGGGTGTCTACGTGCATTTGACCGTGGAGGGGTGCGCCGAGCGTGTTGGTGGGGGTGGCATGATGTGCAGGAAGAGGCGCCAGCATTGCATGCGGGAGCTGCGACCGGGCTGGCTGGCGGTCGTCAACCGGCGTGCGCCGGCCCCCCCCCCCGTTGGCTCACTGAAAAACTGCCGCCCCCCGGGGCGTGTCCGTGTCCGAGACCGCAAGGCAACCTTCTTCTCCCCTGCCCCTCCTCCCCCTCCCCCCCCCTCTGTTTCTTGCCCCGAACAGCCTCCCACCTCTTTGGAAATGAGTATGCCTTGGTCTTCCGCCGCCTCTCGCCGCGCAACGTCGCCCCCCGAGCGCGCATCGCCACTGACCCGAGCGCCCGCGCTCCATCCTCTCCCCCCGCTCTCTCCTTGTCCTTCGGATCGGTTGCTTCCCTCTTCCTCCTCCCCAGCGGCCGCAGGTGTACGTCCCTCCTCCTGCCGGCTCGCCCAGCTGACCCCCTCCCCCTTCCCTCTTCCCTCTTCCCCTACGCCGGCTCGCCCTGCTGATCCCTGCTGATCCCTGCTGATCCCTGCTGATCCCTGCTGATCCCTGCTGACCCCTGCACCCCCCCCCCCCCCCCCCCCCCCGCGCGCGCGCCACCGACATCCGCAGAAGATCTCCCTCAACTCGATTGTCGGGTTCTCCAACATCCCGAACCA